CCAACATAAATGCAAATAAGTGTCTCATAATCTTAGTAGTTGTGACGTATTGGTTGTTTTAATGGCTGGTGGAGTAGGATGGGCTGGTGGGGGATAAAGGGTGCAGGCTAGTGGAAAGGGTGCGGCCTGGATGTTGGGTGCAACAGCCATGTCCGATCTATCTGCCATCGCCATTTTGGTGTCTAATTTGGCCCTAATGGCAGTTTCCACTGAGAGCAAGGGTATGAGGGATAAAATATCTTCTGTAACAGGAAGAATAATCCATGTGTGGTAAGTTTTGCGACAGCTATGACCCGGTCATCCTACACACTGCATATGCCATCAGCAGCTGGTGGAGGCTGCTGCTGCTCTGTTTTGAAGTGCCCAAGTTGGAATCATCTATAGTTCAAATTTAGGTGAAAGATATTTGTGTCCAATGCCATAATGCTTCTTTTAACTGCTGATTGAAAATTCTGGCTCCGTTTAAGATAGAAAAGTATTGGTAATTGCTTTGTAAGGTCAAAGGAACTTTAATAGGACTATTAGGAGTTATTACCAGCAGCTTGTCTTTGTATGTCAATGTCATTGTGCATTGCAGCGGTACTGTGAAGTCCTGTTTGGTCTTGTCTGTTGTACAGTGTGTAGTTGAACTGCTTGAACTGGAGGTAATGGCGGTAAAATTATGGCCCCTTAACCTTTTGTGTGGGAGAGGAAAAACCTCTTCTGCTTTTTTCTTCTTCCTTACACCTCTGCTCACATAAAACAGATTATTTTCACATGTTGCCATCTTTTGTTATCTTTGGCTGGTGTAATGTTGCCATAGGGGCCATACGTTTCATATTTTTAGTTGGCCAGATCAGGAGGGAGGGCAGTCTTTGTAAATATTTCAACATGCATATTGCTAAATGCTCTGGTGAAATTGCTTGTTTCCTTTCCAATTTTTTCATAGAGTGAACACACCACATTGTTCATTTTCAGACATTTCTATATCCTGTTCTTTGGCCTCCATTGTTCTGCTGGGCACAGGCGGTCCATTGTAAAGCTGCGTGTGACATTGACAGGGGGGCTTGTTCCACACATGAAGCTGTCACACAGATGTGGACCTCAGCCCTAAAGGAGGGGTGGTGGCCAGAAACACACCATTCGCTGCAACCTTTGAACCTGTCCTTGTTAAGCCCTTGACGCCAAAGACGGGCTCAGGAGGAAGTCCCCACCCCTCTCCCCCTTTCCCCTAACAGCTACATGTTGTACTTGTCCATGGCTAAAGGCATGACACACACACACACACACACACACACACACACACACACAATAAACGCACATGCTTACAGTAGGCGTTGTTTAGGACAGTGGTTGATGGAGGATGACAGCTCCTCAAAACACACCCTTTGCCCCAACCCTCCAGCAGTGGGCTTCAATATGTGTGTGTGTGTGTGTGTTTGTGTGTGTGTGTTTGAGAGTGTGTTCATAGCATTTTCCCTCCTGAGCAGACATCTGCTACCACCCTTCTTCTCCCTTCTAGATCCTTTTACCATTCTAACCTATCCATTTGAAGAGAAAGAAGACTCTGCACTTTCCAGCTCTCAATTCAGTTCAGTTACATTAAGATCAAAGGGCTTGAATGGCAAGATAGTTTCAAAAACATTGTTGCCAAAGCATCAGAATATAAGCGCACAATAACAGTAATATGAACATTAACACAATATATTTATATTAATTATGTGTAAACTGTATATACATCTCCCTTTTTCACTCACTAATCTAATGCTGCAGCTGTCCAATGGCCTCTAACCCTTCCTTTTGTTTCCCTTCATCGTTAAAGAGGCTGGTGGATTTTTGGCAAAAGAGTAGAACTCTGAGCCTTCCCTACTTCATGGGAGGAAGGGAGAGAGAGAGGGGAGGGAGGGAAGCAGAGTGAGAGAGAGAACGAGAATGAGAGCTAGTCATGAGTGCCATGGAGAGTTGAAAAGCCTTGTTGCTTCCCCACTCCACTGGTTACCAAGGGATCAACAGGGTGCTAAAAGCACTCAGGGGAGGAAGAAATGGAAGGTTTTAGAGAGAGGGAAAGGAGATATTCAGTATGATGGAGAGACAAAGAAAGAGAGAAGACAGGGAAAGTGGAGGGGCAGGGAGATTTGGACATATATTTAGCCTGTGTATCTCCTCTGCTGTCACTCAGTGTTTGCTTTGTCACTGACATGAGGATAGACAATAAGTGGGCTGGCAGTGAATAAAAAGGGAAATGGCTTCCTCTTCTGCCCCTGCTCACAAGGAGACACTGACATCAGCCATTCTATAAAGAAGTCGGCAGCTATCCTTAAGGACTTCACTGCACAAAATGTCAATCTTAACAAGTAATTATTTATCATGTTCAGTCTTAGAAGTGCTATGTGTTTGTCTGGTTAAAGCACAGACTGTCCAGACTCTCGGATAATGAAGAGGCTGTGCCCTTGCTGGTTGAATATCCCCATTTTGACTCTAACGAACCACAGTGGCCACTTAAGCACTGCGTCGTGAATCCAGTATCAAGTGTCAATCATGGGTTTGTGTTTAGTCTGGAAATTGACTGGCAGTCGTAACGTGTTGTGCATTCAAATGTGAGAAAACTCCTAATAGCTGAGAAAATGTGCTCTTCTATCAAAACACTAGCGCTAACAAAACTGTCCTTGGAAGGAAAGTCAATATCTGAATCAGGAGGGGGGAACGCAGATCACTGCACTTGTATCAAGGAGAAAACACCACTTTTAACAAAGCAAAATTTTAACAAGGTTGATTGTTGATTTCAGGACAATGCACTTCTCCCCCTACATGATCTTCTCTGTCCCATTACTGTTATTCACAACAAATTTTGTTTCTCTCCTCCGTCTATCATCTAACTCACTCTGGTGTGCTCGCTGTCTTTCTATTTTCATCCTCTTCCTCTTTCCTTTAGGGTCCTTTTCACAGTTCCTCTTGGTTTTTCACACCATTCGCCTGGCATATACCTCAATAGAAGTCACCAATATCACCTTGCTCTGGTGCTGCTCTGATATCTATTTGTGCCACTTTATGGTAATTTTCCCTGTCACATTCACACACTTAACCTGCTGGCACAGTGCTTTTGGCCAGGTGCAAGTGAAGGATCCCTTCCCCTTGGTGCTCTGGTGATTATACTCAGATAACATGTCTTTCCTTATTCTTTTCTTGTTCATTATTTCATCACATCACATATCTTTAGTTTTTCTTACATTACAGCAGAAAGATGCTAAGAGGGAAATAAAGATAGCTACAACCACTCGCTACCGAAAGGAGCAAACTAACAGACAGGAGATTGTTGCTGAGAGCTGCTGTTACTGAAGTTAATTACATGTCACTTTCTGTGATGATACACTGAATCAGCTCGCCTCTTAGATCTCTCTTTTGTCATGAGACAACGACACCGAGCACCGTCCCCTCCTTTATTTAAATTAGCTTTTTTAAAGTCAACATATTCCTTTGGCTTTCACAAATCAGCTTCTGCCAATCCTGTTTTATAGCATGCTTTGCATGTTCTTATATTTATTATTCTTGCCTGATTCCATTTGCCTTCTCCACTCTCTGCCCTCCTGTCTTTTTTTATGGATTCCCACAGGTGGCCAGGTGCTTTGTGTACAGCTATATATGTATGACAAAAAATCCAACCCACCTGTGTGGTTTTCATAAAAGGCTTTATGAATAATGGGCCCCACGAAGCACCTGGGACCTCAGCTGACACGTAATTAAAGCTGGGGGATGACTGACTCATTTTCCGACTGGATGGTTAGAGTGGGGAGAGACAGGTCGGGTGAGTCGAGGTTTCTTAAGGTAGACTGCTGATGAAATTTCAATGCCCCCATCTCTAATAAATAAATAGGGGAACAGAGTCTCTCTGTGCCATACCCGCATGTCGCCAAAGATATCCTGGCCTCTGAAAAGGGTTGAATCCATTTCCATAAAGAAACCAGACGGGCACAAGAGCTATTTGGATGTGCTTGACATTTTAGTAAAAGAGAGAGAAAGAGGAATGTGAGCGGTGAGGGCGGGGAAATAGCAGTGGCTAACAAAGCGTTTCAGCAGACCCTCCCAAGGAGACGATGTGCTGTCTGGGTGCTGACAAGCTGACACATACACACAGAAAAATATACACACACACACACACACACACACACACACACACACACGGATCGGCAGTTAATAACAGGACTGGAAGCAAAATCTGAGATTACCTTCTCCTTTTAAAATGAAGTTGCTCATGTTTAGTGTGCTTGTCACATGTTGCTGAACCTCCATAGCTCCTCCTGTAACTAACCTTCAACACATGATGATTAGTTGAAATTGAACCCTGTGTTATTAAATATGTCCCCCTCTTATACTACATGCAGCATGTCATCACTGCATGTTAGTCCTCCACTCAATCTGTACCATCTCCATAAAGAGAGCTTAGATAAAGATTTTATCCCCCATTAAGGAGAGCGTGAAGCTGCTCTGTCTCATCCCAGAGCCTAGTTAAGTCCTCAGATGTCTGGCTTGCCTGTAAAAGTCACTGCCTCCTTGCCCCGCTGCATAATGGCCCGAAAGGAAAATGAGTAAATGAAATGAAGAGAGTTAAAGAAACAAATGGGCACAACCACTTTCCTTCACTGTGGACCTGATCACATCAACACAAAAAGACAGGAAGCTGTGCCCCGCACGCACAAGACCTGAATGATTGAGCAGGAGCGGTCGATCAGGGCAACTTTGTCGCTACAGTCGCTGACATTTTTGACTGGGAGGGTGTTTCTTCAGCAGCAAACGGTGCTCCCCTCTGTAGTCTACTGAAAGTCTCTTTTGATTTAGAATAGAGGCCGTTATTTGTTCCTGCAGGTAATTGTATTAAAAGCCTAGGAGAGATATAGGCAGGAGCGGAGGACATGCAAGCTCAGCCAAATAGAAATAAGGACAGAGATAGTGTGAGTTTTTTACTGTGCTGTAACAGCGTTTTAATGATTTACGCTGTCTTTCTTTTTTTCTTTCTTTCTTCTTAGGAAGAGGAGGAAGATGAGCGAAGGAAACAAGAAAGGAGGATTGAGCGGATCGAGCCAGTAGGGAGGGCCGATTCGTCACTGGAACATTCACCTGTGTTAAGCCTAGAGTGAGTGACCCCCAGCAAACCCCCTAACCACCTTATACCATACAGTGTGTCTTTAAAGGTTGGCACACCCAACAAAACATACCAAAAATATATTTTTCACCCCTTTTGGTATCCAGCCATGTAGATATTTTTGCTCTTATTTGTCCAGACAAGAGATATCCTTTTCTGATACTTATTTTATCACAATAGAATTGTATTTGCATGTTATATTTAAATAAATGTTTCCCCGTTTTCGTGTGAACCTATTGTTACAGTAGAATAGTCCCTATAAAAACCGTTGACTCTAAAGTCTAGTGATAGCTGCAGAAATCTCAAAATCTAGGCAATTAAAATACAAATCTGCATGGCTAGATACCACTAGAGGTAAGAGAGAGTAAATCTTTTTTGCAATTTGGGTGAACTGACTTTTTAATTCATCACCGTGATACCAGAAAGGTTAATAATTCCCACTCAGCACTTAAACACAACCCTCTACCACATGACAGTGACTACATGAAGCCTACATAAAGACCACGCCTTCTTCCATCAACATCATCACACACATCAATGGTTGCTATTGTTTAGTTGTCTTCACGTCTTTATTTACGCAAATTAACCTTCTCCTCCTCCTCCTCCTCCTTTCTTCCTCACACGTTTTTCCAATTAATCTGTTCTCTTTTAGCACAACAATCTGATCTTAATCACTTAATTGGAGTCTCCATTTGGGTCCCTAATCGACCCAGAGGTCCACCAGCCTGACTTCGTAATAGATGACTTTGTATAGACACCACAATGCAGTCTCCCCCAATGAGGCCGCAGCATCCGCCATTACATACATCCCATCAAAGTCTAGTCATGTTTGACTGTGCCGTCTTTTATATCCTGCTTTTTTACATTTTCTTGTTGTTTTTTATTCATGCATGCCTCCTGCCTGCCTCCTTCTTCTCGTCCCCTCGGCCTCATCCATCATCGTCCCGCAGAGGCATGCTCAAGCCGGTCGAGGTGTCCAATGAAGGAGGGCCCTTGGGGATCCACGTAGTGCCTTTCAGTTCGCTGGATGTCAGGTAAAAAAAAAAAGAAAATCTGAGCATAAATGCAACTTAGTGTTCAACAATAGCTAGTTAGTTTCACCATCCAATATGTCTCCTGTGTCCTTTGGTTTGAAGCCCCGTGGATGTTGCTTTCTTTTTACTTTTGCTCATCATTTCACTCATATATTTTTTTCTCACTTTCTTTCACTCTCTGTTCTTTCTTATTCACCACTTTTTGCATGATGCTGTAGGCATCTTCTCACTGACTCTGATTCTTCCGGCCATCTTTTTATTTTTGTGTCCACGCCCATATCCAGTTCCGCTCATTTTCCAGAGCTCAGAAGCCCCCAGTGGGAAGAAGAACAATGAAAGTTGTTTTGCTCCTGACTGTGCAGTTTTTCCAAGTCGTGTTATACTTTTCTTTTATTCTAACCTATGTCCTCAGTCACGGTGGTGTCTACTCTGCTCTGAAGGTGATTCAGACTGCTTTCTTTTGCCATATTTTTTAACAAATGAGGAGTGTCGATGGCAAGGGACAAGAGGCGAAATGCATCCCAGTTTATAGTTAATTCCACAAAAAATAAAGGACAGACGAAGTGGCCAGATGTAATCAAACTAAAAGCTTGTGTATAACACAGATCCCTTCTGCACGCCAAGGGACTGGCACACCACCAAGGTGAATGTGACTACTCAGCGCTGGGGGAGGAAGGCGGGGGGATGAGGTAAAAAAGAGAGTGAGGAGATGAAATGGGATGACATTTGAGGGAGAGAGGATGGCTGTCATTGAAGATTGCTGTGTGTCATTTCTTTTGGACACTAATCCCATTGCTGTTTATAAGCAAGTGTCAAGAAACTATATTTAGCTTTGACCTCGTGTGATTGACTCTCTCAGAAGCTGTGACACTTTGAGTTATCCTGAGTCACAGAAGAAAACTATGATTCATGATCACCAAGCAATATTGCTTAAATAAAGTTCAAATCCTGTAGTTTAGTAGACACACTGTTATACTTAAGCTCCTCTGTATTCCCACAAAATCAGACTGCGTCTTGCAATGTATAGCGGTAATGCTGCATGGCCACTAAATTTCTTCTTCATCAGCTAAGGTCGGCACTAATAACTATCAGAGCCTTCAATTAACTTCAGACATGATAAGACTTAGCGTCTGGTCAGTGGGATGATGCTAATGGCCTGGCCCAGCTCTTTCCTGTGTGCTGTGTGCTAGGACAGGAGGCATTAGGCTCAGCGGGCTGTCATTAGTGTCTAGACCAGGGCCACAGGGGTCAGACAGCCAGCAAAACCAGACAGCAAACAAGGAACTGCAGGCGCTCCAGTGTCGACTGCCCGCATTCTGCTTCAATGTACTGACATCAAGTTAGATCCAAGCGGGAGGGGAAGACAGCTGCAGGAGAGAGCTTAGAGACTCTGTCACTCCAGCAAACTGTATCTCTCTCTCTTGCTGTCTCTCTCTGTCTCTCTCACACACACACGTGCCCCTTTGCAGATGCATTCTTTGCTTAATGAACTTCTCATTCCATGACCAGTTTCAATTGTAAACAAACTGCGGACATAATTGCCGTGCATAAATGGATCCTGATTGGATTATTATTTGATTAAAGGCAGTAGATGACAGCAGGTGGCCTCCTTCAAATAATTTCACAGCACTGCTGCCCAGCCACAAGATGGAGTCAAGCCATACATTGCAGAACGATGCTAATTCTTGTGTTTTGTCCTCCAGAGTACGCAGAGAACATTCTAACTACAAAGTTGTTGTGCTTATATCTGAACAATGAATTCACTGACTTACTGCTTGCCATTTTGATTTTGCTTTAGCTCTCCCGCTTTCTCTAAGTAACTGATGAGTATCTACAAAAAGAAAGCATCAGTGAGAGGGGGAGGAATTGAGAGAGTGGCAGTGCATTACAGTCATCACAATAATAGTCCTTTTATGAAATCATCATCTTCAAATCTCTAAAAGATGCAGCTTTATCCCCTATCCTCCCTGCTGCTGCTTTGAATACTGATCAGGGATCAACCAAAACTCTTTTATCTACTGTCTCTGGTCTGCTACCAGATCAGAAGTCATTAGAGTGTGTCCATGCTGTAATCTCTATGCACAATACTTTGTTTTCAAGCTGCCAACACTCATGGAGATAAAGCACAATCATGTCTGCTTCCACACTGCCAGCAATTACTCTCTGTTCAACACACTTAAGCTGACCTGGCAGTGCCAGCTCAGACACAGAGAAAGAGGGAAGGGCCTTTTGTGATTTTTAATTTCAGCTTAATGCTGAACCATTTACCCCCATTGAGGAGTTGAGATGAGACTGCGGTGTGAGCGTGGATGTCCACATTATGCAGCCAATTAGAGCAATGTTCTGAAAGTGGCCCTGTTTGGCTGAAATGCTAAAGAGCTCTGCAAATCTGCCCTTGACGTCTGCGGTAAACAGGGTCACAATTTAAAAGTGATGTTGTTTATCTGTCCAGTGAAACGATAGGAAGTAACCGAATATAATGAAAAGCACACAGCTTATGTCCTTGCCACTGATGATTGTAGTGTAATTTACTTACTTACTTAGTTTGGCTTCTGAATAGTTTTGGCTCGGCAATATTTCATCATTATTTTAATTTCCCAAAAGTAAGCCTCTAAACTTTTTGTCAGTTTATGCAAGGACACCAAACGTTTGCACTCAGTCAGTTTACCTTCTACCTCAGGCATCTGGCGCCTTAGAGACGAATGGAGTTTGTAGTTCTGCTGTGCGAGTTTACATCAGATCTCTTTGCATGTGGTTATCCTCAGGGCCTAACTAAAGCCCCAAGGAGCTCACTGATGTATTTATTTAGAGGAAGGATCGGGGGGGGGGGTATTTGAAGGTAAAGGTTGCCTTTTTTTGAAGGGATTGCTGAGATGGCACTGCTTTGGAACTGCTTGGGTATTTATTACATCAGTGCCGGCTCTCATCTTAAGCTCCATGAAGGCAACTCCAGCGTTTCCTCTGAAGCCATAAGATGATCTCTTAGGGTGGGTTGTCTTTGGTAATCCAGACCTACAGATGTCATTCTCTCAGACCTGCCCACAGAAAGGCAGACAGGGTGGAGGACAGAGGGACAGACAGAGACTTAAAATGTAGTTAGTAATGCAGTGCTTCTCAAGGCCTGCAGATCTTTATCCAAGCCTAAAGTTTGGAAAGTCAACTTTCGGTGACAGCAAAAATAGGGCTAAAGACTTCCTCAAAATATGGGGGAGGGGGAATGTTAATGTATTAAAAATTCTTGCTCACTGATACATACACACAAAATAAAAACCCCCCAAAAGAATAAAACATGCAGCTCTTTGTTGTAGTGTTAGTTGATAAGGTATAAATATCGATATCAATACCAATATCAACTCAGCATAGAGATTCACTTCATTCTTTGGATAATGCTAATCACCTAGCTTATCTTTTCCTCCTCCATACCTTCTTTTATAGACTTCTTTTAAAATGTAAGGACGCAGGGGACAAGGCTTGCAGGTTGTTACCTGTTGTTTATTATATTGATGTGACTGTGTGTGGTGTAGTTGCTGCAGTATGTGTCTAAATTTGCTTTTACATATAACCTGTGATCATTTCCAGGACTCAGGGCTTGCTAGTGAAGCGTCTGGAACCTGGTGGCAAAGCTGAACAGGAGCATCTCTTCCAGGAGAACGACTGTATTGTCAAAATTAACCAGGGAGAGATTCGCAACCTGCGGTTCGAACAGTAAGCTCTAAAGATGGCCTTCTGTTGATGTTTGCTGTGTATGTTACACATTCTTATCCATACTACATTATAAACTCTAAAGTTCCTACTCCCAGTAACTTTTCAGATAATTTCAGCATGTCCTCTTCTTGCCAGGTGCAGGGAATGCCATGCTGATTTTAATTTCTTTCAAAGTTCCAAAGCTAGGACTCATACTTTATTATCTCGAAGCACTGTTCACTCAGCAACAGAGTTCATATTGAGAGCACTGTGTTGAGCATTAAGTGCAATGACAGTAAATAGTGTTGCTGTTGATAAGCGGAACCCAAACTTTGGGAGGTCGTGACACCCACACAGCTGCACAATAAAACAGAAATATTACTGACTTTGTTGGCCTTCCCGTAATAGGTCTCAGTGACCTACAGTCCTTCACCACCGCTTCGTCCTCTGATCCAAAACCGCCTACACACTTGTCTCGATTCATTTCTCATCGATTCATTGCTCCGCTTCATTTCCTAAAGTGGAATGAAGATATAAACCTGGGGACTTTCCTTCTCATTTACCCAAAGCCACCACACTCTCACACATATGTACTTGCACATGTGCTGGCACACACACAGTTACACTGGGCTATAAAGTCTTATATACACTTGTGTGTGTGTGTGTGTGTGTGAGCGTGTGTGTTTGTCAGGCTGATAAATAGATTGCTTCTCCCCCAGGCTGGATGCTGGAGGCAGTGTATGCAGGTCTGCTGGCTCTTTCCTTATCATCCACTCCTCCACAGGAAAGAATAGCCTGGATTCCTGCTAGCATAGGTTCAACCTAAAGTCATACTGGGCTGGACATGGTCATCTAAAACCACTGGGTTTAGAGCCACCCTTCAGGCAGATTGACAGAAACCAAGACAGAAACAAGTTTGGAACCTCACTGCATTCAGAAGTAAAGTCAAAGAGCCAATTAAGCACGCCTAACATTTTAACTGACTTTGGCAAAGATAAGAAAAGCTCTCCATCAGCATGTAAAACTCCTGACTGTCACGGTTACCTTACCACATTATGTTAATTTGTTCACCAGACTGTGTACAAAGCCACCAAGGTTTAACTTTTTTTTTTTTCTTTTCAAAACGATGCTATTGTCATTAGTAAACATCCCAGTTTCCTTCCAAGCCTTTTCTACTGTGAAAGAGGCTTACAAACCAAATCCACTAGGGAGTGATGTTTTGTAGCGTCCCGCACTTACCCTCCCCTGCCAAACACACACTCCTCACCGGAATCCAAATGCATATGATGTTTGTGATTCTGCATAAAAATGAAGGAGCAAAACTTTCCTCCCTATCTGCCTCCCCCTTGACTCTCTCATCACACAACCCTCCTCCCCTCCTTGATTGTGCACTGCACACAGCGACAATTTAAAGTGATAGTCTAATCTCCTTGGATTGTTTTGCATGGGTAAATATTTTGAGGCGCTTAATATAACTGAATGTAATGATGCATTGATGGGTCGATTTATTATTCAATCAGGCTTGCGTGGAGGCTGATTATTGGAGTGATGGCACTGTATATGTGCAGGTGGGAACATTTGGGTACAAACACGCGCACACACACACACACACTTGCTCGCTCAGTCATCACCCCTCAGTGTGCACATGTGAGTGATTTTTGTAAATTACCATAAGAATAAAGATGGGAGAGACCAAATCCTGCAGAAGTGGCTGGGTACAGCATACGCGCCTTGCCTCTGTGACACTGCTCAAATGAAGTGCTGTCTGTTGTGGCGGAAGCAGCTTAGCAGCTGTCATTTGGATAGAATCAGCGTGGTATTTCTGGCGCAGTAATGGGGGTCTGGAAACAGGAGGTGGGATTGTTGGAATCCAGACATCCACTGCGCTCCTGGCCCCTTATGCAGCAGCGTTGCTCGCTCCTGGCCAGTCTATCTATATGCTAAGTGCCACCAGCAAACCAGACTAAACAATTCTTGTGTCTGGGAATGATGTTGAGCTCTTGTCTTGGCTTATTTGGCCACAAAACTCACATGAGACTGAGTGTGTGTGTTTTGGCCTTTTTTTCTCCTTATTTTGTGTGTAAGGAATGAAGTGTGTGTCTGCTTACTTTGGAACCTCATTGTCTGGAAAGCTTCCTTGATGCACGATTCATCATCTCTGTTCTGACAGTTGAGTCAACTCATGTCCATTCATCTGTAACTACTCACAGACACACATACAAACACGCAGACTTCTATACTGTAGAGAGAGTTAGATACTCCTGAGACATTATGTTTCACTGGCATAATATAGAAAACACAATATATAATGTTTCATCACTGACTCACTGTTCACCATCCTTATCTCTTTCCTGCCTTGATGCTGGTAATTATAGATAATGTAATTTCTGTCCTCTGCTGCTATGTGGTGAGTAGCCCTGTGATTAGCCATACTAGCCTCAACTCCTCCTATCTCCTCTCAACATAAAGTACCACATAGCCTTCCTTATCCTTCTATATCTTTCAAGCTATGATAGTACATTATTCTATCTCTTATCATGTTAAAGCTAATTTATTTCTGTCTGCATGACCTCCCTTCTCTCTCCCTCACTCCCCCAGAGCCCAGAACATTTTCAAGCAGGCGATGCGTTGTCCGGTGATCGTCTTTCACATAGTCCCCGCAGCCATGAAGAGGCAGTATGAGCTGCTTTTGGCCCAGACCGAACTCAGCCCGCCCCAGTCCACCAGAGTCCGCTTTAGCCAAGACTCTCAGCAGCCGGGAGACAGGTCCAGCCTGGTGGGCGGGCTGATGTCCAGATCTGCACCACAACCAGGCCTCAATCACAAGTAGGTTGAGAACTTTTTCTTTCTGTTAGGAGAGTTACCTTGTGTATCCATATTCATCAGACATGTTGAGTAGAAGTTAGGACAACCTGCTCAGAATTTGAAAGCCAGATGAAAGGGAGACACACGGCACCATGAAATAAAAGTTACAATTCTGTCCAACCATTTGATTGGACGAATAAAATTTCATGTTTGTGCACATATTTAGGCTAAGCAGTCTCAGGTCAATGAATGCAGTTCAGTTTTAACACTAGCCAATAACGTTTCCTTAATATGCTCACTGTAAATCCATCAAAGTTTAAAAGCTACAGTAAAAATCAAGAGAGCAGTTTAATAATTATTTCTACCTGAGACCTCCCAAGTCTGCATTGCTGATCATCTTCTTAAAAACCCATTTTATCTGCCTGTGGTTACTATGAATTTATCTAACGTCTTTGGCCTAATGTCAGAAAGCTAAACAAATTGGTCCATGTCTACAGGTTTATATTCTTATTTCCAATTATATAAACTCATAAATCATCTGTCCTTTCTCTGTATGTTACATTTAGCAATCTCTGTCAATATTCCCTGCTGCATAGAGATCATAATTTAATGTTGAAACATCAGTATTTACATTATAGCAACCTAGCAGTTAATGGCTATTTAAGTATATATATGATCAATTTAAAACAGCATGTATTATTAGGGGCAGACACAGAATGAATGAATTCAATTAGCTGGGTCAATATCAGAACTTTCACAAAATAACATCCCTAACCCCAAAAGCAATTTGTCAACCAATAAATTATTGACCGGACAAGTGCATTTTTACCAACTAATCGATCTGTGGAGCAGGCAGGCTCAGGCCTACATGTCTGTTCTCCTAAGGTATTTTTACCCTCATTATTTCCAATAGTGACCCAAAAGTTATCCTGTTATGTGTTGAAAACTTGTAGAAATATGATTTTTTGCCATGAAATCATGATGAAACATGATGTCATTGTATATCATCATTTTTGAAATGTTGATCGACTACTAGTTAACTGAGAAAATGCCAAAACAGCATGCTGGAAGTGTTGAAGTAACTAAATTACTGCTTTCCTTTTCACTACATGATCTTATCATCTATTTGTGTAGGTCAAAAACAAATCAAACCTTGATCTTTGTCTTGCTCTGTAGCCACCAGGGACCATTGGGAGGAAGCACCCCAGAGCCAAACCGACGGTACACCACATTACCCCAAACCTTGGTCTCTAGAACCTCACCAACGCCCTCCCCCTCCCTGCAGCGCAGAGTTAGCACAAACCCATCCACCAGCTCCTACCTAAAGACCAAAGGCCGCAGATTCAACATCCAGCTGAAGAAAGGTAAGAACCGGCACATACATAAATGCATGATGGACACAATGGAAATCTTTAAGCATTATCAAAAGAAAAAATACTTCAGTAAAAACTTAAAGAGGTCATATTATTCTTGTTGGCTTTTTCCCTCTCCTTTATTGAGTTATCTTTTTTGTGCATGTAATAGGTTTGCAAAGTGAAAAAGCCCAAAGGGAGTTCCCATCTCTCACAGAAAACACTGCTCTGAACTGCTTGAAAACAGCTCGTTTGTAGTCCAGACTTTTCTTCCGCTTTCCTGTGATGTCACAAGAAAACACACGTCATAATGCTCGCTTAGCAGCTAGTCCGACACGCCCTCAAAAACACCTGTGGAAAAACACACTGAGCTGCAGCACAGTGACAAGACGTCCGCCTGCTGCCTCTCCTCTCCCTTCCAAACATTATCTACCCTCCAGGCAGTCAATGGACATAAAGTTGTTACTGTGATGGAGAGAGAGTGCTCAGTTAAAACCTTATGGATGTAAGGTACATTTTTTACAAATTAATAACTCACCGCTCCAGTCCATGTTGCTAAGCTGGTAAGGGGAACATAAACAGCTGAACCAAAGCTGTGTTTGTTGGATTTTCAGGACCTGCCCTACTCTGCTTCTGATTGGCTAGTAGTCGTTAACTAGGTAGTGCGCTTGTGCAACTCCCAACAAAGATCTTGTAGAAGTGAGATGCATCACTCCATAGCTAAAATGGAGTGTTCAACACCCAGGGTGAAAAGAGGAACTGCAGCGAAGTGCAGTATGACAAAAATATGGTGTTTTTTTGAAAATGAAACCATGTAAACCTGTTCTGGTACAACCCCTAAATAAAATGATGAACCTGAAAATGAGCATAATATGACCACGTAAAGCAAATGGCAGGAATAGTCACACTTCAGGCTCTTTTTTTGTTGCAGCTGAACAACCAGCACAGCCACCACAGTACTTCACCGGCTAACCTGATCCTTATTACTATCCCATGTACCAGTATTATATCAAAGTGTTGATTTTAGCCTGCAAGAAATGATGTAATGGTACAAAGCAAAAGTGGAGCAATTTTTTATACTAGCCTATAGTATTGCAAGGCATGGGCAGCTAGCTAACGTTAGCACAGATCTTTTTGCTTTGTAACATTCAATTTCGTAACACCGTGTCTGTCGCTGTAACTTATATGACCCACATAATATACAATAATGCAACATAACAGGGCAGGACAACAACACAGTGGAAGACCCATTCACTACAGTAACAGTACTCACTATGGTCTAACTGTTATAAATTGTGGCAACAATCTTATTTATAATATTCAGTCCAGCTCACTAATCATTTTTGTTATCATCCAATACATTTAGCTGTGCTCACATTGCTGAGCCTCTGGTGAAAGATACACATAGCTACTGAAAAGTGGATGGGGAGCTGATGCTGATGTATCACATTGGCTAAATGCAGTCAATGTAACATTGAAGACACAACAAACAGATAAAAATATTACTTATAATGTTGCAGTTGGAGTTTATTTGAATTTCCAGCACTTTGTGTGAAGCTCATAAGCGGATTTTGCTGAGTTCGAGCAGGTGTACGAGCACATAAAGTTACCTGGTTGCAATCTAAAAATCGCACAGCTAGTGGCCACTGAAAACTACATGATACCCCTTTAATCGAAAAGTATGGGGGGCACGTCTCTGTTATGTGCACGCCACATTTTTGACATTTCTGAATTGAAAAATATATCCCACCTTTGATAGTTGAGCATATTTACAATAAAAATATTTTCAGTGAGCTATGAGGGCAACAAACCCCAAACAAACAGAAACTAAATAAATACAAATACAAAATAATCGTTCATTAATTTGTAATCAAGGTAAATGTTCAATTAGTCATGATAGACATCTCAGAACCATGTCTGTTTCTGAAGCAATGCCACTTCACTTCATCTTAATTATAGACGCTTCTGACAACATTTCTGTCAATCTCTTCATTGTCAAATAACATCCTCTCTTATCAGAAGAGTTGAAACAACACTATAACTTATATTACAGCTTGTTTTCCAGGATGGCAGATTTTCTACTAGCCAGAACGAGCAGCATTCTGTATTTAACTGCACTTAAAGTTCACTTTAAGACACACACATGCAGTTTTACTATTGTGAACATCAAACAGCTGATATCTTTCTAATCCTTCCTGTATCGCCCATGTCCCCAGGGGACAAAGCACCATGTCATTATCTGTATGCATTCATTCTCTCCAGAGTATACAATAGGTTGGGGGAGAAGACCTTAAATCTTTCAGGAAATATTTAAAAATATCTACTTGCCTTTGGGCATTCTTTAACTGAGCAGGCCAAAAGTAAACACAAATCAAGCACTTCTTGAAAACAGTCTGTGGCTTGATTCACTCAGGCTGCATCACCACATGACTGTGGTTGAAATATTAAGATCCAGCAATCAGTCTGCTTCCAGCTGAGGCTGGTTTGTTTTTGGAATTGGACAGGCCTTTGATACTACAGCAGTTGCATATCTTAGCTAACCATTGTGGTTGGTTTATTGCCAGATTCCATCTCATTTTCATCACTTCACTATCGTTATATGAATTGACAAGAAGTTGGTTGTGAAGTGAACCAGTGCCGAGGTGACTTGCCCACTCTCTCTTTGCTACTTTTTTCTGTCGGAGGGAGCAGATGTTTAGTTGAAAGCTGGCACTGAGGCTGTAGCAGTGAGCTTTAGGGAATAGTGCAGCAAGTGAGGGTAGAAGCGCAGGCTAAATGCAACGTGCTCTGGGGAAATGCAGTCACAAGCTGCTCTAATATGTTTGGCAAAGGTCCCCGAATGCTGCCAGTGGAGTTTCAGAATTTTCATACAGTGGGAGCAGCAGTGCAAGTTATATTTTTGTGTTTATAATGTGATAATGTTACTTTCTTTTTTCTGCACACAGGCCTCTCATTTTAGTGAAACCCTGCTGGAGAGATGTTGGTGGAGCTCCAGCATGAGACTGATGCCAGTAGTTTAGTTTATTTTCAGTAGCCACGTTGCTTCATGGTCTAATTCAACACCATAACTCTCAAATGTATGTTCTTGCACAAGTGACAGAAATGGTTTCTCAGATTGTTGCTCATGATTTAGATGGGGCTTACTGAAATGGATGTGCCTCGTTTGTAAACTTCAAGCCATTCGTGAACTCTAAATGGACATGAATTACTTTCCAAATGTTGTTGAATTGGAAATTTACTGAGCACTAAAATCTGACAGCCGAGGGAAATGTGCGTCTGAAGTCTATTTTGACAGTTTCGTTTGATTACCATTAAACTTTATCACTACTAATGTACCTTTTGTAAGGGTTCAGCAGTTTTGTTGTTGACTCCTTGTAAGTGTTGTGACTCTGGGTTCCGAGTGACAGGAGTCCCGAGTGGCAGGAGCAGATCTTGCTAGGCAAATTAACAAGAGTGCCTTAATCGAATACTGCATTTGAAAAGGACATACACACCCCATTAAGTCATTCTAATGTGTCTCAGCCTCTCCTCATGTTTGCTTTTTAATTGGCTTATTGGAGCCAGGATTTCAACTAATCCAGAAAGGGATACAATTACTTTTATCCTGGTCTTCTATTACCCAAAATAAAGACGTCAGTGGTTAATTACTGCATGCCTATTAGAGATGCATTCTCCTAATTGCCTGATTGGAGACCATTAAAGACTGGATCTTACAATGGGCAGGAGTTTGATTCTGCTCATTAGGCTGTATGCAGGCCAGCAGAGACTGGCATGGGAGGGGGGGGGGGGGGGTCACAGTGTAAAGGGGAACAAAGACAGTGATGTAGAGGATGTGAAAGGGGAAACATAATGTGCAGTATATTCTGAATCTGAAACTGTAAGACAGAGGTACAGTTGAATGTAACTGGTCATTGAGTAACAAAACTTAATTTATAAATCTGTGAAATCACATTTTCATCTTTTTATTATTAAATCTCTGTAGTTTATTTTAAATACGGTATATAGCAACTGCACTGAGTAGGGGAATTATTGCTATGGCAGTTATGTGACCTTGTAGTAAAAGTTTGACATTCATGAAGTCAAACTCTTTAGATTTAACATTCAACAGTAACGATGGCAGCTATTTCCGTCTGCTCAGTTATCATGCTGCATTGATGGAGAGATCATAGCACGTCATTATCCTCAACAGCTCAACTTTTTGACTTTATAAGCAACCTCTTCATCACCTTTCCCCAAGTTTGTTTGTGTGCAGAAGCCATGAGAAAGTTGCGTTCCGCACTTCTCCCCCTTTGTATTTCTTGTTCATCAACACCATCACTGTCAGCGAGACAACAGACAGTTCGACAGACTGCTAGAGAGAAATACTGAGAAAAGTAGGTCATGATGAACCATCAGAGGTGCTGACAGCTCTGTGAAATGAGCAGCTACTTTGACATGAATACTAATCACTGTTGTTACCATCAGAAAAGTCTCCACTGAAACCACATAACGCTTCTTTCCCACTTGACTGCTTGAAATGCCGAAGGCTAGGTAATGTGTGGTGGAATATATCTGTCTGAACACTGTTCTTAATGACTCATCTAATAGCATTATGTAGCAGGCCTATTGAATGTTTAAATATTCTGTCAAAGAATAACTCGGCAAACACAATTTATTTGGTTTACCTCTTTCCCTAGCTGACATTTGAAACCATTTCTTGCTTTTATTTGACAAATTCAGGTCTGGTCAGCAGAAAAGGTCAGGCCTGAGATCCTCTTATTTATCCGTTATTGTATTTGCCTACTTCTTCAAGACCAGCAATTCATATTCATTTGATGAACCTTAAAGGTCAACCTTAAAACCTGAAGCAAGTGGTTTTGCACAGCTTATGTGAAGTGTTTTCTCAGATTCAGCTGTTGAATTTAAGCTTACCACTCTGCACTTCAAAAAGGCATGTTGCTCTTGGTCAAGGAAACATCAGTACAAAATAACTTTTAATAAACAGCTAATGATCTCTGCTTCCTATTGATTATGCAAACTTCAAACTATATATAGTAAAAATAAGGGAACCCTTAATCATCACAGCATAACATCATTTCAGTTAAACTTCAGGGATATGACTCTGTCCAGTTACAAAGCATAAGCAATTGGGAATGAATGTCACTTGTTTTAGTGGAAATGAAAGTGACAACAGGTGCACTGGAGGCAACAACACCAACTCTAAAAAGGAAATGGTTTTGCAGGCAGTGGCCACAGATAATTGCTCTCTCCTTATCCTTCCTAACTGATTGTTCTCTAGTTTTGCGTATTGCTGGTAGCATGAGACGGTACCTGCAGACAAAATCAGGTTGCGTGGGTAGTCCAGCTCCTTCAGGATGGTACATTCATACATGCTGTCGGAAGAAGGTTTGCTGTGTCATGCACAGTCTCAAAAGCGTGGAGGAGATACCAGGAGGGCCATTACTCACAGAGAGCTGGACAGGGCAGTTGAAGGGCATCAACCCAGCAGCAGGAATGGTATCTGTTCCTTTGTGCGAGGAGGAACAGGAGGAGCATTGCTGTGACCTACAAAATGACCTCCAGTGGGCTACTGGTGTGCATGTTTCTGCCCAAACTGTCAGAAACAGACTCAATGAGGGTGGCATGAAGGCCCAACGTTCTCACATGGGATCTGTGATCACAGATCGAGAACCATACAGATCGACTGGCATTTGCCAGAGAACACCAAGATTGGCAGGTCCGCCAGATAAGAGCAGGTTCATATGGAGAACAGACCTCCATGTGCTGGCCAACAGTACCCTGACTGCTGTTAAGTACTGGGATGAAATCCTCAGAGCCATTGTCAGAACTTAAGTTGGTGCAGTGGGTCCTGTGTTCCTCCTGATACAGGACAATGCCTGGCCTCATGTGGCCTTAGTGTATAAGCAGTTTGTGGATGATGAAGGCATTGATGCCATTGACTGGCCCTCACACTCCCCAGACCTGAATCCAATTGAGATCCTCGGTGATGTCATGTATTGGTGCACCCATCACCACCAAGTAGCACCACAGACTGTCCAGGAGCTCACTGATGTCCTTATCTAGGTCTGGGATTGAGACACCATCAACTGTCTCATCAGGAGCATGCCCAGACGTTGTAGGGTGTGCATACAGGCATGTGGGGGCCATACACACTACTGAGCCACATATTGAGTTGGCGTGATGAAAGTCACACAAGTTGGATCAGCCTGTGATTTCAGTTTTTTTACTTTGGTTTTCGGTGTGATTTTAGATTCAGCATTCAATTGACCCTTTGCTAAGCCACGTCGAGAATACGCAGCTGGCCAATCACAGCGCTGTATAGACTGTGCTCCACTGACTCGTATGCAAAAGGCGTCATTTTCTACCTTTTGTTTGCTGTATTTTTCCAAGATATGGTCGAACACTGTTCCTGGGGCACTTGTAATAATTACAGTCGCTACCCAGAGAGGTTGAAAGGAGAAGTATGAATTATTCTTTTTCTAAAACCTAAAACAAATCCAGAAAAATGTAGGCTGTGGATTGTTCCTAATGTAATGTTAGTTAGCTAACGCTAGCTAACTTATTACTGAATGTAACGTTATAAAGCCCTACTGCTTAGTAATAGTGAATAGAGACCTACCCAGCTGTACAGGAACAGTGTGAATCCTTAATATCATTGTCCTTTGTCTCAATCGTCTGGTTCACTTTTACTCTGTGATTGGTAGGCTTTAGCTTCTGCCTTTATTTGTTTCACGTCAGTTTGACAGCCTTTATACAACCTTCAAATGTATAATGCAAACTGTTCTGTCACCTGAGATCACTTTTTAAATTTTTCCAAAAATTAGACAATATTTCTTCAGGGAGTGAAGTTATAGACAGTGGCAGTGCTGCGATGAATCCAACAGGTCCAAGAGTTTGTCAGACTTAGCAACAGTAACTAAAAGGGCATGGTTTAGCGAAAGGTCAATTGGTTGGTGACATTGACAATTATTAGGTCATTTTGTTCTCAACGAATTATACAATGTACAGTAAAGCTCTTGAGCATGTTTATCAAGCTCTGATGTGTGATTTAAGTGATCCCTTAACTTTTTTGAGCATTGTATATATGGTACAGGATTGCTTTGACCCAGACATGATTTAAACAGAGTGTACTGACCTGCCGTTGTACCAAAAAGTCTGAAGGATTTTTTAGTTAAAATATCTGGCACATGCTACATGGATGATTTAGAAAACAGAGCATTCTGAAATCCATAGCCATTCGTTTTTCTCTGCTTATTATGGTCCATAACCAGTCTTTAATCCATAACTTGCAAGAGTGACTTTACAGTCCACATGCACTTATCATAAACACTCAATTTTGGTTCATATCATTGACACTATATTTAAAGTTAGGGACATGTTTTCATTTTTACTTCCTAAAACATGTGAGTGAGACACACCCTGACGGCAAACCAATGAAAAATGTCAGGATGGAAATATGTCTTTATTAACTATAGGAGGTTCAAAACATGGTGGAAAACCATAATTTGATCCTTGCGTAGTGGTTACTTATGTTACAGTGGCATGTAATGAAAAGGATCTTTCAGCAATGGTTTCAAGAGCTTGGCATGTTTATAAGAGTAACGGTAAAAGCACTTTGATAGTTTATTAGAGCATTTTCAGGTTCCTTTCTGACTTTTATTAGCAATGCCGATAATGAGATTTATTTATATAGCATGTCTTTGTTTGTTTTAAGTAAAGTATTAAAATATCTATCCCTGTATAATATATTACATTTGGACATAATATCATATGAACTAATTATAAGACCTTATAACATGTAATTGTTTGCTTTAAGTAAAGTGACACACATTTTGCGCAGGAAAACAACTTTTATTTATGTTTCTTCACTTTATGAACAATCTGTATGAATTTTGAACATTTTGCAGTTTAGCACAAAAATAATTACATCAAGGAAACTCATTGTCAGGGTGGTGAAAGATCGCTCAAGAGAAGACCTGTTGCCGACAAACATCATGTAGTGGGCCTAAGTAGAGTAGCTAATATTACTTTTTTAAGGAGTAGGTCTATAGCCTATGCTAAGTAACTAGTAGGTAATATTATTTCTGAGTAACTTACCCAACACAATAAGGATCAGATAAATTGGGAATGTTTTGATTATTGCTTGTTAGAGGCTATGTCTAATGTTTACTTTGACTTTGTTGTCTATTGATGTGTAGCCTATACACTTTGCTGTGTGAATGGTTGTTTTTTTAAGTCGTCCTTATGTTTTTGGCACATTATTAATTAATTTCTTGTGAATGGTTGTGACAAGGTTTAGGCTATATAAGGCCTTTTCACACGGGTCGCTCCGCGCTCCTCATCAACAGACAGGCAAACAAGCGCTCCTTCAACTGAACTAATTTGAAAGTTAGTAGTTACATTATTTAGTTATAGACTCAATTATTTCATGTTTCATGTTGCACATCTAGCTGTTGAAGTTTGGTAAAAATGAATACAAACTAATAATTATTATAGAGAGGTTGCGATGGTGCAGTGAATTAGACCCTTGTCTTTGATTCCCACTGCAACACATCCATTAAATAAGATATTGTCATGGATCCTGCTTTACCTTCCATGTTAGAGCCGCCCCCAGTTTAATCAGGGTGTCAGGTGGTCTCAGTATATTTTCCTGCTTTTTTGCCCTTTGCCAATCACATGCCTGTATAGCACCTAATGCATGTTTGTAAGTGATTATAACAATTGTTATAATGTCTTATGGACGCATTATATCGTGTTATAAATATATGCATAAGTCTTTATAGCGATGACCTTCATTGAAAGTGTTACCTGTTGTATTTCATCAATATTATATTATATTGTAGCCACAGTATTGTATAATACATATTGGTTGTCTGTTAGTGATGTCATTTTTTTGAATGAAAGCAAGAAAATGTCAGTATGTTTACCTGGAAAAACAAATCTTTTGTTGTTGACATTTATGAACTCTTACGGAGGTCCTTCAACACTTTACCCAACATAAACACATGCACATTATTTACTTCTCCCTCTTCAGAATGATAAAGCTTCCACAGAGCTGTAAATCAGTAATATCACTGTTATAGTTCTGCAGAAGTACAGCCCTAGTGCAAGTAAACTGACATTCTTTCAGTTTTACTGCAGACGTTCACCTAATGAAGTGTCCTTGAGCAAGACACTGAAATATCAAGGATTGATGTTGTGCAGGAAACATCTGAATTCTTGACAATGAGTAGGCATGAGAAAAACTAATCAGTAAAATATCACATTACATTTCATTTAATTTGTTTTCCATTTTTTCTAGGTCCTGAGGGTCTTGGGTTCAGCATCACATCCAGAGATGTCCCTATTGGTGGCAGTGCTCCCATTTATGTCAAAAACATCCTTCCTCGAGGGGCCGCCATCCAAGATGGACGATTAAAAGCTGGAGACCGGCTGCTGGAGGTGGGGCAGCACTTTCTAACTCTTTTACCAATATGAGTAAGATTGTATATTGTATGTTTCAGATACTAATTACTCTTTTGCTGATATGATTTCATTCCTAAATTAAATCTTACAGAGCTTTTGTTAAAATGAGTCAAACACACTGTGTTCCCTATGGCTATAACAATTCCTTTCCAGCTTTGAATTGCTGAGGGAAAGTGGTTAGATGGAATAATATTTTGATTATACTTCAATCAGTCTGACATGAAAATCAGCTAGTGCTCACTTTAGTGGGGAATAACCCATATTTAATTCCAGCTCCAACTGGTTCTGAGGATAATCTGCACAAAGGTTATATAGAGGCCATAGATTCCCAGAGAGCTGTTTGAATTTAGTTTTGCTACTGAGTGTGTGTATCAGTGTGTACATTTATTTTTGTGTATTTAAGTTTGTGTGTGTGTGTGTGTGTGTGTGTGTGTATGTGTGTGTGTGTGTGTGTGTGTGTGTGTGTGTGTGTGTGTATAATGGCAGGTTAGTGGAGTGGACCTGAATGGTAAGAGCCAGGAAGAGGTGGTGGCTGTGCTCCGAGCCACGCCCATGGGTGGCACTGTAAACCTGTTGGTGATTCGCCAAGAGGACTCCCTGCTGCCCCGAGAAGTGGTCAGTACCTAGCCAGCACCTCACCCTAGAACCTATTTTGCTTTCGGTTTCAATAATAACAATATCACTTAAGCAACACCTACATTTCTGAACAAGTGATGTACTTGATATTGGAGGAAAATTGTACCTTTTTATTCTCGCTTTTTTAACCAATTACAAACACAGAATTGAATTGAGGGTTTTCTTAGAACTGTGGTCATTTCTCAAAAACTAAAAAGAAGACTAACTTCGATTTTTTTCTGGTGTATATTACAGTTATTAATGTTTTCTGGGAATTAACCAAACTTCCAAAGCCAATTTGTCCCAGCATATCCTATATGAACTCACACTAGGAATATGGTAAAAGGTTACAAAATGTGTAACATTGCATGCACCTGGAATACAGTTTGGTCATAGTGGCATGTGCATTTAACTGCTCCTTCAACCCACAACCTTCTCTCTTTGTGTATCTTTCCCTTATGCTGTCTGCACTGCACTGCTGTTACCCCCAATTTAAGCCTAAGAGAATGAAAGCTGACAATCACAAGAACACGCTCAATTCTGTAAACAGTAGGGTAGACAGGTTTAGGGATCCAACCAACCCCACACACACAAACACACACTGATGAATAAATATACAGTTACAGTAAAATTTAAATTTATTGACAAATTTACTGTAACTATATAGAATGTGTACAAAGAGACATTGATACAGCAAATGGCAATAAGTACACACTTTTGCATAGAAACACACACAGACTTGTGGTCAAAAACACATTTCAACAAGAGCTAGTTATGTGCAGGAACAGGCACATTAGCAGTTTTTGGTACACACATACATAGGCATCCTCAAGTGATGTGTATGAGCAGACAGCTTTGGACATATTCACACATACACTTGCACACATGAACAGGGACACTGACATACACACATTTCCCATACACACAAACACACTCTCCCGCTCAGACACAGACTACATACAGGGTGACTTTGGCTGTCGTGCAACAGATGGTGAGGCTACTGCCCTCGTCCAGCCTGCGCTCACTCGCTCTGACAGCAGGCTCAGGTGTCACAGCACCTTGGCAGTACAGGGGCTCCTGATGCCAACCGCACTTCTACCCATAATACTCAGCCTGGCACCCGGGCTGTTAACCCCACCATAGGAGCTGTTCAACCCATAGAGCAATGGCCCTCTGAGACACATTTTATTCTGCTAATGTGCTGTTTCTCCACTTAGAAGTGCACCGCCCGCAGCCTTAGCTCGACTTTAATCGGTCTACAGCTTTACTTTCATTTTAACATTCATAAAGTGTCAAATGAGCTCATATTTCATTCCTACTTGTATTAAAGGAGTCACAAGATTTACATCTTGAAAGCTTGCACAATTTTAAAAATATATCATTGATGTTAAAAGTGTAAAGACAACATAATGTAGCTAAACAGGATCTTAATGGCTGCTGCTGGCGTCAGACCTCTGACCTTCAGGTTACTCAACCGGCTCTTTAACCACTACAGCCAACACTTAAATTCCAACCGGAGGGATATACCAAACTCTTACCAATTCATACCTATTCTCGGCTGCCTTGACAGCAGTTGAATGACACTACGAGGTGTGTTAAAAAATGCATGGCTCCCTCTAGGCCATCAACTCACGAGTGGTGTGGTGTAAGAGTTTGACGGCTACAGTCTCTGAACTCCTCAGGCATGACGCGATTAGAAATAGCTCATCATGGAAACACAGTCTAAAGATCTCTTTAAGATTTTTTTTTTTTCCTCTTGTTTGACCAACTTCTAGATGCTGTATACACTTCCCACAACAGATTATAATTTTGCAACTTTTTCCTTGTTCTCTCACACACTTTTCACAGTTCCCAGCGGTGCTTTCACAAATCTCAATAATCCCTACAAGTATGTTCATAAAAATCAGATAAGGAGGCCTATGCTCTGCTGGTGACAGTTATTGCAAATAAAGCATGGAGGAAAAGCATGGTTGGTAATTGCCTCCTCTGTCAGACCCTCTTGATGGGTGAGTGAGTGTGCGTGTGCGTGTGCGTGCATGCATTCTGTATGTACCTCACACTCTACTTCCAGAACACACATAGACACACACTTATGGATGAACATTTACTTGCTGTCATTTATGTAGTTCTTTCAGTGACAATGCGATGATGTTTTAAATTGCACAGTGAGTGACATGCCAGAGAACCGCAGGCATCTGTCAAATGCCTTCCACACATACATATACAGGCACACAGTGGCAGGAGATCTAGCTGTATAGATGAAAATAGAAAGGAGCTGTTTTTTTTGTCTAGCTGACATTTGCCTGCTGATGTTTAATGTCAACGCCGAAAATTCCTCCACGTCTCCTTTTGTTTAGATGCTTCATTGTATTGCCAGGCTTACTGCACCAGCCCCCCGGAGGACTTAATTTACCGTCCCAGCATGTTTGCGTTGCGTCTTTAATTACCACGGTTGGGGTGTATTTTGACATGCTTTCAGTAGCAATAGCAGTAGCTCTCAAAAGCTTTCAATAAATATGTACTCGCTGGGAAGAGAAAAGGTTAAATGGCAATAGAGCAGGATGGGATGTTGCCTATGTGATTCCCCCATCTTTGTCTGGTAACCTCTCGCTTTCTACTTCAAGGATATCAATAGACATTTTCAGACAGATACATTATGTTGTATCAGAGGAGTAGAGCAGCTTTAACCTTTACCTTTACTGGACACTGGATCACTAATAAGTCTGGCCTTTCATACCTCATCTTCTCTCTTAAACTCTCACCATCCATAATAAAACAGTATTTTATAAGATTCCTCAGAGAGACTTCCGTTGGTTCTCTGCTGTGTTGTATATGATGTGTGGTTCTATAGGATAAACCCTGTCACCTTCAGGTTATAAGACATGTTCCTTAAAAGAGATGCGGGGAGACATACAATCAGCACCTTGAACCCTAAGGGCATGGTTAGAGGCTTTGTGAACAAAGTCACTTGCTGTGCAGTTCCTTCACTTGACAGCTACAGGAGTTTGAATCAGTGATTTTAAGACAGGATTTTAACAGACCAAAGGGAGAAAGTCAAAAGCATTGCTGCCCCCTTGGGGTTTGGAGGTTAATTCATGACTTGAGGTGGGCTTTTATGAAGAGGTAGAAAGAGTTGTGTGAGACATACCTCGGTGAAAATCCAGAATATGCATGAATATTCATAGTGACTCAGTGCTTTGTGGTCATTAGATTTATGGACTGAATATGAATAATCTCTTAGTGCTTCATTTGACATAAAGAGACTAAGCAATAGGGTAACAGAGACAAGGGTGGAAAGAAAGGGAAATTTAAATGAAAAATTATCTAAAAGTATTCATCATGGAAATGGCGTTTGGTGGGGCTGATATTCACAACAAGTTGTGTTCAGCTCTCCCCCTCCGTCACTTACTCTGACACCAACCACCATGCTCTTGTCTCTCCCTTCACATTATCCATGACCTCAGATGCAATTACTTGCCTGGTAACAATAGCCAAAGCAAGGCTTGGCAGTAAGGTTCTATTACAAAATAACCCCAGACACCCTTACACACATATACACCACAGAAATTCCCACATAGAAGCAAGAAAGGCACACTTAAGCACCTTCTAACAAACACTACACACTCACCACGCATAGCCAGCGGATGTTATTTATTGTTGGCATTTATCTTCCAGCATGCAGCACTGTTTGTGCTTACAGCTGCAAGCCACACTGAGCCTTCAGTCTACATCGCCCAGTTTCGGGAGTGGAAATTGTAATAACCAAGTCAAATGTCATGCTTCACTGTGCAACAAGCAATGACAACAGTCAAAAAATGAGGAACTATTCCTGCCTCCTCTTAAAGATGCCCATCCTCCCTGCCGCCAGTGATGGAGCTCCACATTAAATCACACGTTGTGGTGCCATTTACTTTAGAGCAGACAGCAAAACAAAGGCAGGCAAATATAATCAGTGACAACCAGTTTATTACATAAACAGTGAGTTGTAGGGAACATAGTGCAGGCCTGCCAATGACAAATCATTTTAATTCATTCTAAACCCCTCACTACAATGTAAATGAATTAGCTTTTTTGCATTGCTGTTGTGTCATTAAGACTGCTGTGATCTCAGCTTCTTGTCTTACACACACACACACACACACACACACACACACACACACACACACACACACACACACACACACATGCTCATTCTTGTCCTAAACATATTTTAAAAACCACAAAAACTAAACCACTCCATCTAAAGACTGACATACAATATGTGCTTGATTAGTCACATATTTTCATTTGCTTTAAAATCGTTGTCCATTCTTGCCCTTACATCATTCCATGACCCTAGACGAATTGTACTTTTCACTTACAATAGGACTATGGACTGTGGATAACAAATGGGCTTGTGAAGCCTCTGTTGTAACACTGCAGACCACATAAGAGCAATTAAACAGTACATTAAAATTCCCTCTTTATGATCATATCACACTTGTCACTGATCCATTAGTAGCTGTATCTGCCAAGCATTGAGAATCTTAATTGCACAATTAATTATGGCCTCTGATTGATGTGACCGCCAAATTTATGGCTCGTGCAAATGCTGGGGACACAGTAGACAAATGTGTGACAGTGTTGCTGACAATTATAGCAGACTAATGGCCTGTTTCGTAAGTGGCAACCCTGATGGCCGGGTTTAAAATCCTCCCTGCCATGTTTTTACCACAGGCATATAGGCTGCTAGGAAAGATTGTTTTAGCTGAAATAATTCTATTGGTATAAGTTTCTGAAATCATTACATACGGTATTAATAAAAGTACTGGTTCCGTGAAATGGATCAGGTATCCAAACAAGCTCCCCACTGTTTGTCTTTTCCAAATCAAGGCAATCGTCGTCAGTGTTGCATTGCTTTAAACAATTAGTCAAGGCAGATGATATCTGTTCCCTTTTCTTAATCATTCCTCTAACAGTGTCACACAGTTGGCTTTTGTTGTGGTGCCCGCAGTGAGGTT